TCTAGATAACGATGCGTATACGTGTGTAGCATCCCAATATATATATATATATATTAAAAAGTAGACTTCTTATTTTCTTTAGGATCAAGTTGTTGGTGTTGTTGCAAAGTAGGAAAGATAAGTGGAGAATATAATTGCATACATTATTATATTGTTACATAAGAACAATCGAGATCAACATACTAGACCTAAATATTTTCAACCTTGACGTTCTTGATCTTGGAAAAGTATTTTGTCCCTAAAACACTTAAACAAAATGATAACACACTCAAATTATTTCTACTATCATCAAAATCTACTGGTGAGTCATGGGCTCATAAAAGCTATGAAAATATTATATAGATGACATGGTCATTGAAAACCATATAGAAGATGGTCATATCATTGAAGTACAATCATGTCAGTGTCTTATTCAGTATATTCTAAAAAAGAATCCTATAAAATATGCATTCAAAATTTTTTCAAGAAAAATTTAATGGCCCTTTGTTTAAAGTAAAAGCATTGAGATTGATTAAAAATATAGAGAAAATTTTAGGGATAAGGCCTCCAAAGAGTCTGATGAAACTTTGTTCTTTTTAAGGAAAGCTTATATTTCTTAGGAGATTCATATCTAATTTTACAAGAAAGTTCTAGTCTTCTACTACTTTGGCAAAAATGAATGCCCTTTTCTTCTGAGATAAAGTATGTAAAAAAGCTTCAAATGATCTTCAACAACACATGTTAAATCCATCAGTAATAGTAACCTTAGTTCTATGGAGAGCACCTATTTTGTATATCATAATGTTAGATGAGTTAGTTGTTGCATTATTTTCTCAAAATAATGATAAGGGCATAGAAAATACTTTTATTATCTTACCTCGTATTTATCCTAATTGAGATGATATATCCACTAAATGAAAATTAATATTTGGTGTTGACGTTTAGCAAAATTTGAGACATTATGCATTATCATATTATATGAATATAATCTTAAGGGTAAAACCCATATAATATTTGATGACTCATCCTATTATAGCTTGTTGTTTAGACAAGTCATTTATGATATTACTGCAGTTTATAAATAGATATATTCTCCTAATGACCCTTTAAGAGGCCAGCTTTTTGTTGACATCTTAGTTATCCTCTAATACTAATTAATTTTGTTCTTAATAATAACTTTTTGGATGAGCATATATAAATGATTGATCCTCAAACATGGAAACTTTACTTTCATGAGGTATCATCATTAAAAGAAGACCCACCTCAACCAATCCCTAAAATTAAAGTTGGTAGTTTTATTTTTGCATACCCTAAAAATGGTGTTCTTTACTATTCATACGATTTGAAAGAGCCATGTACCAATAATAACGTACAATAAGAAGATTAAATTTTAGTTTTAAAAATCACCATTATTTTAAGATAAAAAAATTAAGCTTTTTAGTTATTCTCAATTTGTTATTAGTCAAGTGATGAGGACATAGAAAATTTTTAAGACCAAACATTTACTTTTATATAAATGGTTTATTGCCATGTCGAAATAAAATCCTAACAAGATATTGAATAAAATATTGTGTTCTATTAATAGCAGATTAGATGCTCTTTTTAAGTTAGCTAAAAAGCTGTCTAATGTAAGTGAATACTATGTAGTAGTAGTGATCTAGAATAAAAGGATCATGTGCACATTGCTTTTTTTAAGAACACATTTTCATGTGGACCAGATGCCTTAATGTTATCAATTGTACATGATGAGTGGAAAAATAATATTATTGACTATTTAGCCAAGGAAAGACTCTTAGATGATTTTGTTCTTGAAATTCAAATGCAAAAGAGATCATTATCATTTATGCTCATAAACCATGTCTTAAATTGATGCTCATATGATCAAATATGGTTGTTTTACCTTGAGAAATATAAAGCCCACAGGGTCATGAGTGAGGTGCATGGGTCTTATCAATCTGGCCCAAAGTTGATATTAGAATTAAAATATATCATTATTATGACCTTCAATGACTCCAAATTTCATTAACTATGCAAAGAAGTGTTATTAATGTCAACTTTTACTCCATTTTTGCATCAACTACTAATTATTTTGCATCTTGGGGTAGCGTCGTGGCCCTTTAAGACTTTGAGAACTAAATCTTATGTCACATTGAATACCCTTAATGTAAAGCCCATAGATTTATAGTTGCAGCCATGGATTATTTTTATAAATACGTAGAAGGCATTCCTTTAAGAGAGGTTAAGGAAAAAAAAGCACTTCACTTTTTTAATGATTATATCATCTATAGACTTGGTGTGCATCATTAGTTAATATAAGACAATGTTTAGCTTTTTAAAATACCAAAAGACATAGATTTATCCATCACTGTCAAACCAGTTGGTGATATTATGTATTATTTTATCTAAAGGCAAATGTTCAATAGAAGCTTTTAGCAAGACTTTGGTAAATCTTATTAAGAAACTCCTTCATTATATTAAGAAGGAATAGCATAATAAACTTTCGGAGATATTATAGTTGTCATGAAACTTATAATTGCACTCCCATATGCTTTACTCCTAATGCATTGACATTTGGGTCTAAGGCAATGCTTCCATTAGAAATTGAATTTTCTTCATTATGTATTTCATTAAAAATCAGCATAAGAAATACTCAAAATACCATCATTAATTAAAGGAGTTGAATAATTCATATGAGTTTAAACTACTTGTGGAACAAAATTTTGAGTTATAATGAGTTCATATGATTAGAGACCATGATGACATAAGTAGAATGCGAACATTTGTTATGGGAGAATTAATTAATTACAGAATGTTGCAACCAACTTGGAAGGGACTCTCTATGATTGAAAAGTTCTATAAATAAGGAGCCTATTTATTAATTGACGTAAGAGGTGACCTTCCAATTTCACTCATTAAAGGAAGATGTTGGATGAAGTATTACACTTAAGACAATTATATAATAAATTTATTTTAAAATTTGACGTATATAATGTGTTGTGTTTATGCATCACATAATGTATCTATGCAAATTTAAATGCAAAAAAATTATAACTTTTATAATGCGAGTAAGAAAACATGATGTTCAAGGTGGTCATTTTTTTAACTTAATGTCTTTTACACAAGGATATGTTGATTTAATAATATGGATTTACTTTGAGAAATTATACTGAGAGAAGATACGATGATCTCATATTAAGGTAAACATCCTTATGTCATGAAAATCCAATCTTTTGAAAACTTAATAAGGAAAATAGAAAGTTTCTCTCATATTGAATATTTTTTTGGATGCATCTTTGGACTATGTCCAGATTAATAAAACCCATTAATTTTATCATAGTTACTTCTCCTTGAGAGAACTTTTGAGAAGTCAATTCCATCATATAAACACAGGTTTTCTAATTGAAAAGTGTCAAAATTCTTAGTGGATACTTTTAATAGTTTAATGCACTCTCAATTGAAGTTAAGCAGATTATATATCAACATCCTATCACTTTGAAAGATGCTTTATCAAATGCCATCAACTATTTTTGTTCACAATGATTTATCTTCTACATTAAGACTTACTCAGCCTGATTCATGAGCTTTCTTTTAGATTTGAAATTAATTTATATTAATTGATTGATTGATGTACACTCAAGCATGTCAGAGCCTAGCTTAATCTAGGTAATTTAATTTTTGATTAAATTCTAATGGACTTGTCCATCTATATGTAATTGAATGATTGGCATGGGACATGCCTTAGCTGATCTAAGCATTTTTATTATTGATCATCACCTCAGGGTATGCCATGTTCACATAAGGGCCTTCTATCCAATTAATTGATGCATGATATGTCATGGTTAGTTAGATCATTTGGCACAAAATATGCCCTAGACAATTTCAACTCTTAATTATTGATGAGTTAACACATAAAATGTTAGTATTACTTTAATCATTATGTCTAGTGATATTTGGAGTAGGATATACGCTATCAAACAAAATCTTCCACTCAACATAGGATATGCCCTAACTATTCTAGGTTTTTTTAAGTTAATCCTTGATGTAGGATATGCCTTGATCACATAAAAGCCATCTATCTAGTTGATTGATGTAGGACATACCCTGGTTAATTTTAGAATTCACTTGATAATTGATCATTGATATAGAATGTTCCCTAACCATATAAGGGTTTTATATATAATCAATTGATGCAAATGCCTATTTATTTTGATCATCAGACATAAGATATGCTCGGGGTAATTTCATCTCTTAGCTATTGATAAGCTGATGCAGACTATACGTTAGTCGATTTGATCACTTTGCCTTGTGACTCTTAATATAGGATATGCCTTAGTCTATAAGATACTACCCACAATATTTAATTGGCCTTGGCTATTTTAATCCATTTCTCTTATAATAAAGTTAGACATGATCCTTATTTTCATAATATAGGGGCTGTATGACAACAACTTTAGAGCAAAAATTAATCTGGATGTAGGCTAAATTTTTTCAAACGGTCATTTTGGACGAAAAAAAAGTTGTGGATTTGATAAATCTGGATTTCACAGATTTAGTCTTAAATCCCAGATTCACTAAATCCCATGAATCGGTTGATTTACATGATTTGGATGAAGAAATATTCGATTTGTTCTACTTACATGCCAAACAATTATGTTGAATTTCAATGATTTAGTAAATTCACTACTAAACAATATTTCAGACTTAAACAATTCATGATTTACTAAATCCGGATTTACGGAATTTACTAATTCTTAATATCTTTAAATTTTAGCCCCCAAAAAATTTAAAAATCTAACAAAATGGGAGTGGGCGAGAAAATGTTTATTTTTTTTAAATATTTGTTCTTCAGCACAGATACGGAGCACTGAATGCACGGCCCTTGATTTCTCAGAAGACCCGTCCCTTCGTTTCGATTCGCAACCGTGACTGACGCTTTGCCAATCAGCAGGAGAAGCGCGGCGGTTGCAGGGATGGTAGTCATGTCGAGCAGCAACTCCTTCGCCAAGGAGATGGCAATACGAAAGCGAATCTCCAACATGTACGCCGCCTCTCCTTTCCTCCTATTTATCCTTTCAATTTACTAGTTGTTTTCATTATTCTACTGCTTTGTGAAGTTCATCTTTCTAGCGCTAGAAAATAAGAAGTCGTGTTGAATAAGAGCGAAGGGAAGAAAAAAGAAAAGTTAGAATCTTTGTTCAGGTCTAGTCATGCGCCAGCCTTTTGAGGATTTACAGTAAACTAGGGTAATGTAAAAGCTGAATTAAGAAAGCTCTTAGTTTTCAGGTTTCTGCATAATCCGTAGCTTTCCCAGATTTTGCTCTCTGCTTCATGATAATTAGAGATTTGGTTTGTTGCTTTGATGCTATGTTATTTTTTTAAGTCAGTGATAATAATCACGAATTTGCTGCAATGTCTTGTGGAGTTTGCCATGGCCACCTATAACGACTGTTTGGTAATGGTTCAAGAGTTCTTGTTTAATTGAGGAGGTTGCTGGTCGAACACTCATACTTAAATTCAACCATTCTTTCTTATTAAACCCCCTTGGATAACATAGCTTTAGAGTTAGTTGCAGTTTCAGCGTGCGCCCTCTTGGATAACATAAGTTCAGAATTAGTTGCAGTTTCTGCGTGCAACATGTGTGTCATATCATAATTTGTGTAGTTGATTAATATAGGTAATGTTAGGTGTATTGTACTGAACAGCTTGCCTTAAATACAACCCAGATAATAAGTCAGCATTTTGTTTGCACCGCGATTGTAGAATTTAGCCCAATATTTTTTAGTAGAAAGTAATATTGCTTTGGCATTTTTATAACTTGAGCGATGATCTGCTGGATGCTCTACTGATTATTATGAATGGTATAACGAAACTCTAATAGGTACTGCCATCATTTGGCAACTTTGTTGATGATGGAGACTATTTCACTGTTTTACGTGAAGGATTGTTGCATATTGGGGCCCAGTTTGTTGCTTTTGAAGGCAATCTGTCTAGTTTCTTGGTACAAGGATGCACTTTCTTCCCTGAGATATCTGTGTTCAATGGTGAATGGCTTAGTGAACTCTAAAAGGGCAAGTGTTGGAGGTTTGTCAATGTTTGCTTGAGTGTCGCTAAAGCTTGTTTGGCTATCAATGTTGTCATGAAATGGCTTGCTAAGCTTGGAGTATCGAAAGACTGTCAGACAAAAATTCATAGTTTAAAATACCATAACAATTCAAATCTTTTTTTTTTATTTCTTTTTTTCTTTTCATATAAAATTTTTAGTACACAAAGGATCCAACAAACCATAAATCCTTATTTAACATAAAGATGTTCACATATATACATATATCTTAAAATAAAACAATTATTAAAAGACATTTGAAACAAAAAATATTGAAGTTTTTTATACAAGTAACAAAACTATACTAGTAGCTATTGTTAGTTGATTCACGCCATTAGCATATAGAATCATACATTTTCATCCATCTACTTCAAAAGAGATTCCTAAAAAATATTTATCAAACTAAAGGGATGAGTTATTCATATATAACTCAATGCTTACATTATAATTATAAACTAAATTATTTAGAGCAGAGAGAAGAACCATACATGCTAATCATCAAAACTTAGCTGCATGGGAATGAAAAAACCTGCTTTTCTTTGCAATAACTATTATGAACTTCAAAATTGCTTTGTAGTTAGTTATGTATAGTAATAGAATCATCACATTCATCTGAACAGTAAGGGTTGGAATGTGTATTGAGCTTTTTGTTTTATAGAGCTTTAAATTTCATAAATTATTATTTTAGCCTATACTTAATATATCTGTCTTAGGAGCATCATCTAAAAATTTAAGTCACCCCTAGTTGATACATTCCCTATTAAAACATGCCTCATAACAAATGAGTACTAATTTAATTTGAGTAGATATATTGGAGTCTCAAGCTAGTATCATAAGGAGGTGACCCCATCTTTCACATGCACATATAGGCATGCTTATACACAATTTATTTTTTATTCATTCTTCTTTTCATACAATATCTATTAGTAGGGAATATTACATTGTACAATAAAAGCTTTCGAATTATAACTTGAAAAATTACATTTCTCTTATCTCAATATTAAGGATTATATTGCATTGAAAAGGTAAATCATCATGAATTATTTGCATTAATGTTGCATGATAGTGAATTATCTTCTGCATATAAAGAAGTAGAATCATAAAACTCTCATATTAATACAAGTGTTTAGGGTCTATTTGGGTCATCTTTCTGTCTGTTTTGTGTTTTAGACCGTCACCACAACTCTATTTAGGAAATTGTTTACTTGATGTTTTTTAGAAATTTTTATCGTGGGAAGCTGCTCTTTTCAACTAACCTATTAAAGTATAGTTGCTATAAGAAAGTTGGCTGCTGTTAGATTTTTTTTGAAAAAAATATATTTATAATTTCCTTCACAGCTTCCGAGGTAGTTTTTTTTAACTGAAGGTTTACAACTACCTTTTTAAGAAGCTACAACCACTCCAAACAGACCCATAGTTATAATTAGTTCAATCCAGAAATGAGATTTCCCATCTTACATCCTTGGATTCAAATTAACTACTAAGCTTTATGATCAATACATCATTAATTAACTCGTATACAACAATCACACAAACCAAGTATATGGCAGATGCAAAGTAAAAATTAGATGAATTCCTTAATATTTATATTCATCTTATCCTTCCTCATAACTTAATACCTTAACTATTATTAACTTCACATTTATATTAAAAAATTCACATTTATAAGCACACAATCATCTATAGCAATTCTATTTCTTTTCTTTTAGAGAATATTAAATTGTTATATACTAATATATTGACACAAGTCAAGCATTTATTATTATTGTTATTTTTATAATAAGCAAACAATTTTTAGGAATAATGTAAACTTTATTTATCAAAATTATCTACACATAAATTTTTTTTATCTTATTAAATTTTTATTTCCTTAATATGTGAATCTTAACTCTTTTCACCTATAGTTTCATTATAACAATTAAACCTCATTTATTAATTTCTTATTTTCATATAGTTAAAAAAAGTTAAAAAAATTACAAGAATTGATTCATTTTTTTTAATTTAGACTTTACTAATAAAAATATTTTTCACTAATTAAAATTTTATATTCTTTTCTTATACATAAAAGTCTGACAGTACTCAAAATCTGATATAATAAAATTCTTATAGACTCTTATGAGTTAGCATTCGTCAGTTTTAAGAAGGGATAATATGCATTTTTACACCAAGTAAGATTGATATTATTTTAGAGAGCAAGGAGTGTCTTGAAGATTTAGGGTTTTCAAGCAAATTAAAAATAGATTTACATCTTAATGGTTTAAACTTTCACAAGAATCTTCTCCTGAAACCATTTCATAACATTCTTTCTAAACAATCTTGTTACCAGAAGAAGAGAAATGAAACCTTGATTAAGTATAATTTTCCTTAAATCAAGCCTAAAGCAAGAAGAAGGCTTAGAGGAGGAGGTAATCTCATCCTTCTATTGTTATTTCTGGCCCAAACTTCTTACTTTAGCGCATGCTTGATGCCACATTCAAGCTGCCTCATGATTGTTCACATTTGTCCCCCTCTGTCCCACAAGCTTACTTGCTCTCTTCCTAGTTTTAGTCTCTCTTAGAGGTGTAAACAAGTCGAGTCGAGCTTGAGCTACACTCGAATTGAGCTTGAGCTTGATTTTTTTTGAATGAGCTCAAGCTCGAGCTTAAGTTTACGAGTTCAAGCATGGTTGTTTATCATTTAAGAGAAAATAATATTAATTTATTATAGTGGTATTATAAAATGATAAATAGAATGAGCAATTAGGAGAGAAGCAATAAAAAAATCACTTAATATAAAATACAAAATATATTTTTTTTAATATTTTAAATACTTTAAAGTTAAAGCCTTCAATTTTAATTTATTTTAAGTATATTTTATATTAATTTTTTTTTAAAACGAGCCGGGTCATGATCTTACGAGTAGAGTCGGGGTTAGCTCGAGCTTGACTTGTCAGCTCATCGAGCTCAGTTAACGAGCCACTTATCGACCTGAGCTCGATCTGGATTGACTCACTTACGCCACTAGTCTCTCTCTTGTTTGCCTCTTCTCCACTTCCACTTGCTCGCCTCATAAGTGCTTGAAACTTGCTTTCTTTGATCTCGTTCGATTGAACTAACCTAAAGGTCCAATCTCCCTTTTGATTTTTTATTATAAATTTTTTTTAAAAGGACTTTCTTATTTACTTATAATAAATTAACAACCTATTAAAAATTGAACAATTGGCATATTGAATTAAAATTTTCTGTCCTTGACTAGATAAATTCTTAACATTATCCAATAATTTTAACTAATTGATTTTTTTTATTAATTAACTTATTAATGTCTTGGTTATTTACATATGTCCATGAAGCCATCACATTGTAGCCTTGCTATGTGTAAGTTGACAATGTTTGCGAAATCACAAACAAACTTTTATAAATGCCCAACTAGTTTGAGGAACTTTTGGAGGGCTTTGAGATTATGCAGAAGTGGCCAATGGAGAACGATGTAAATCTGGCTGTCATATTTTTGGACTACAAATGGTAGAAAAAAAATTGTCTTTAGTATTGCTTTGTGATTGTCTGAACAAATATTTGAGAAATTTGAAGTGAAATTTGCTGTCTATTAGGAATATGAAAATTAAATCCTAATGATTAGAATGGTAATTGTTATAGATAAGAATGTCGTCAAAGAATACGATAACAAATTTTCTAAATTTTGGTTTGAGTATTTTATTCATGATATTTTGGAATGTGGATGATGCATTTGCCAAATTAAATAGCATTACTGTGAACCGTAATGGCCATCGTGGGTTTGGAATCTTATTTTGTGGACGTCATCTTTTGTCTTTCGAACATGAAAATATCAGAGTCAGAAGTTGAGTTTGGAGGAGTTTGTTGTATCTTGTATTTTTTCAAGCATCTCATTGATTGTTAGAATTAGTCAGAAATTGTTGCTTGATTTAAGGCTCGATAGTCATC